ACACCAAGACTCCCAAGTGCCCTCCCCACTAGCCAGACAGGCGGTCGTCAAGACACCCAAGGAAGCCACTCACACCCTGACTGTGCCACTTTTCTTCCCTTCATACTGTACCTCGGTGGTCCTTCCAGGTTGGTGCCAGGAGCGTATTCTTCACGCATCCTACTGCCGGAACGTAATGCTTTATCTCACTGGCTCCAGTCTTGGCTGCAAACAATCCTGCGGTCAGCATATTTTGCTCAGAAGTCACCTGTGCACGAGGCTCTGTTCTGGCGGGACACAGCACCTGAAACGCCCAGTCACCGGGCTGGTGCATTTTAATTTTTGGACACGGATTGTCTAAATGTTCTCTGAGGTTAAACCTACCAAGGGACATTCGGACCAGCAACTTACATAGCAGTGTTTTCTCCTGAGTCCAGCCAAGGTCACGAATGATCAGGTTTCTTGATCTGGCCTTGTCCATGGAGGAAGAAGGCATTCTCCACAGCTCCAGTCTGAGCGTTCTTTCTTTTTGTTAGGTTAGGAATTCAAAATACACGTGAAGGCCATTTTCGTTTCTTTGCTGCTGGCCTAGCGCTTGTGTCTTTTATGGTTTTAAATGCAAAGTGTCCCCCAAAGACTCATGTACTAAAGGCTTGATCTCCAAGGAAGTGGTATTCTGAGGTGGCTAAGAGAGGCGATCAAGTCCTGGGGACTCTGGCCTCGGCCCTGGACAGACACGTGGATGAACTCGCAGCTGAATGGGCTCTAGGAGGTGGGGCCTGGATGACGGGGTGTGATTGTGGGGACTGTGTCTTCCCTAGCCCTTTCTTCTCTGAGTCTCTCTGCTTCCTGGCTGCTTTCATGAGTTCAGCATGGTTATCCACTACCGGGCCCTTCTGCCTAAAAGCAAGGGGGCCAGCTGACCATGGACTGACCTCTCTGAAACTGAACCAAAATAAATACATCTTTCCTCTTTCAAGTTGTCATTCTCAGGTATTTTTGTCAGAGTGATGGAGAACCAAACGATGCAATGTCCTTTGCCTGTTTTTCTACTGGGTTGTTGTCTTCTTAAAAAATCTGCAAGACTTTATATACTGAAAAATGAAGTCTTTGTTTCTCATATGCTGTAGAAGCACATATTTTTTAAATATATCAAGCAAAAATGCGTCCTTTGTACACCATGTTTCCAGGACTTATGGTCATTTCACAGTATATTGTGGATCCCTTTCCATGTCTGTAAGTAAACTGTCACGTTCCCAACTAGCGTGGGTAAAAAGCAGCTCCAGGCAAAGTCCCCTCCTTCTCACCTTCCCAGGCTGGCAGTATGATGTAATTTAGGGATCCCAGCCACAGGGGGGAGCTAGAGACACATTCCTTGCCTGGCCAGTGCCCGGGACCCGTGGGTCAGGCAGCCTGCGAGGGGACACTCTTTTTAGGCCTGATGATCCCAAGCATTAAGGTGGCTCAGGGCCACAGGGGCGAGCCTCTTCAGCCACCCTCTGCTCCGGGCCATCCGTGCTCTGTGACATGTGTATCGCGCTCCTGGCCTCTCCGCACCCAAAGCTCCACGACCCGATTGCGAGACCTCTGTGTCCCGGCGGGGGAGGGGCTGCCTCTGGTGCATCTCTGGGGAGCAAGTCAGGGAGGTGACAGAAGCCAGCCTGCCTCAGTAACAGCAGCGCACACCCAGACAGGGGTTTACTGCGCTGCCTGGTGGGGAGGACACCATCTCTCTCCCGAGGAGGACACGGAGGCGCAGCGTGGTTCCGTGACTTGTACAAGGCCCTGTAGCTGAGCTGGGGCTCGAACCCTGGCCCTCAGAGTCTAACCCCACACCCTGGTGTCCCTCAGGAAAACAGGTGTGGATGGGTTGTCTGAGCCACAGGAGCACACCCCACTCTCACAGAGAAAACGTCTCCTTGCCTAGTTTTCTTTTTCACCTATTTTCATTTTCCCATTTTTGATGAAGAGTCGAGTACAGGAGCGTTTTCACTTCCTGAGAGAACAATACCAGCACAAAGCACACTGTAGGTGAGGCAGAGAGGGGACCCTGCCCTGCGGGAGGAGCTGGGTGGTGAGGGGACCCCAGTCCCCGGAGGACTCAGCCCTGGCCATCCCCTTACATCATTTCTCAGTGTTTGTTCCGGCCTAGTTTAGCAAGTGAAGTCAGAAATATAGATTTTTTAATGTGAAATTTTTTACTTTAAAATAATGACAATTAATTTAAAGCCTGTGAAGACAAAACAAAATATGCGTGGGGTCTGATTTGGCTAAACAGTTGCAAGGCTGCAGCTTTCCTGAAGGTTACGTCCGTTGTCTGAAAACAAACGTTCTCACCCTGATTTTTATCATCATCTGTGTAGTTAGTGCTTTTATGTGTTTAGTCACACACTCATTCTGCGCATGCAACCCTTCACCCACTCACCCATCCATCCACCCTCTGTCCATCCCCTCACCCACCCAGCCACCCGGCCCCTCAGGCACGTGTCTGACCCCATCCACCACCCGCTCCCGGATCTGTCAGTTCATTTCCTCAGCCGTTACTGTTGAGTCCTCGCTGTGTCCTGGACCCTGGGCCAGGCCCTGAGGACACAGTGACAGTTATGATTTAATGCCTGTCTTTCAGGAACTCACCACCTCTTTTAGTGGAGGATGAGAAGGATGAAACCAAACGGTGTTAAATTCAGACCCTGTGAGTAACGGCTGGGAAGCTTTGGGCAAATATTAAAGTTTCCTGGTGTCAGTTTCCCCCTCTGTGCAGTGGGACTATTTTAGATCATTTTCGCTATAGCAAAGTACCTGAGACTGGGAAACTTATAAGCCATGGGAGTTCACTGTGGCTCACAGGTCTGAAGGCTGGAAAGTCCCGTCAGGAGACCCATCCAAGGCCGTGTCATTACATGGCGGTGCCCTAGGGCACATGCGGGAACAGAAGCACCGCAGGAGACAGTTGAGGGAGCCTAACTGCTTTGTAACACCCCAGTCTCTGTCTCAAATCTGGCTGAACCCCAAGAGACCCCACTCTGTCTCCATGACTCCACCAGCCTTGACAGGATCTAACCCCCGTGACCTGGTCACCTCTCAGCACCGTCGCTCTGGCAGCCTAAGTTCACCATGCATTTCGGTGGGGACAAACCACACTGAAGCCACACAGCAGTAACGGCGCTCTGGGGTCCTGTGTCCTGTGAGGGAGGTCACGTACGTGACTGAGGGGTGCAAGGGGGCAATGCCCCTCTTACTGCAGGTGGCCCGGGCTGTGGCCTCAGACAGAGCTGCCAGCTCCTTCCGGGGGTCAGGGGAGGCTTTTGGAGGTGGCAGGGTCCACAGGGCCCCACACAGCCCACGTCAGAGGGGGTGCTTCGTCTACTCAGAGCCACTGCCTCCCGACCGGGCCTCCCAGCACGTGGGTCTCGCTGCCCTTGCTTCACCCCTGACCACCCCACCCTGTGCATCACGGCCCCAGTTTGTGGGGAAATAGCCCGGGACAGGAAGGGCTGCGGGCTCCCTCTTTCCCGATTTGTTGCTATTTTTCCCATTTAAATGGAAACCATGCTTATTGCAGACAATTAGAAAAAAACAACACATCAAACAAGAAAGAAGAAAATCATTTTCCTGTCTCATCCTTCTGATTTAACCACACTAAACATTCTGTGTTTTCCTTTCTCCTAAGCCAGGCTCCTCGTGTGTGTGTGTGTGTGTGTGTATGCTCATGCGTGCAGAGTTATAAATCATATTGGCCGACTATTCAGTGTTGTGTTTTTAAAAACATTTGTTATACCACAGGCACTGTGCCTCCCTTGCTCATCTTTGTGAATACAAGTGAAGGGCTGTGTTTGTTTAGCCGGTGACTCTTAAGTGAGCACCTACTATGTTGGAGAGGGCGGCAGGGTGTCACAGCACATCGACATTTACCCACTGCCCTCCGCCTGGTCCGGTTGGAAGCACTTGTGTCCCACTGCCCCTTCCTCTCCGCCGCCCAGTGACGCAGCTGCTGGTGCTGTGCCCACTTTCCAGATGAGGAGGATGAGGCCAGGTTGCACAGCGAAGGCAGAGTCAGCTCTTGATTCGAGGTGCGTTGGCCACAGAGCCTGGCCTCTCTCTGGCTGGGCTGCTTGGGTTCATCCCTCGAGGGACCGGAGCTGGTGGGACAGGGAGGGTACAAGGCGGGTCACGGTGCTGAAGAGGCTCTAGGCCCACCGGGCCATCGGGGAAGGCTTCCTGGAGGGGCAGGCGACATTTCCATCCCCTCCAAGAGCCACAGGCTGTGTGGGCGGTGGGAGCTACAGTCGGGGACCCGAGGTAGGAGCAGGTACAGGAGCTTCAGCAAGCAGCATGGCGGGCCCCGGTGGGAGAGGTGTGAGGGGCTGGGGACCCCCGGGGAGCCCCAGAGGACTTCCCACCGGATGCAGTCTGACCAGAAGGTCCCATTGGCCGGGCAGCACCCCGCTGTAGCCTGTTGAGCGCCTGTTAACTGCCTCGCCCTTTCCGCTGAGGAAGGTTCCAGAGCGGGCATCAGGACTGGATGACTCTGCCATGGCCTGGAGCCAAGGTGGCTGCAGGGCAGGGCAGGGCAGGGCAGGAACGGCCTGCAGGGAGCCGGCCCAGCGGTCAGCCTTGGCCATGGACGCGGCCTGCTGCAGAGGGCCTCTCAGGACGTGCAGCCGGTCCTCGAACCTGCCCGAGGCCCTAGTAAATACTCAAGTCACGGCGCGCCCTCTGCGAGGTGTCCTGAAGGTCAACAGGAATCAGAGAGCAGCCTGGGGAGGCCCCCACCTCCCCCTCCCACGCGGGCCTGGGACCCTCTGGCTTCTGCCACCTCCTGCCGAGTGCTGTGTGGCACCGCTCCTGTCCCTGCTGCTGGGGACAGGGAGGGGCTGTGGCCCAGGGCCACCTCCTCTGCTGGAACCGACCTGCTTTCTCCAGCCCCTCGGCCAAGCCCACATCTTATCAGCTCAAACACTTCAGAGTTCAGGACTCGGAGCCAAAGTCAACTTGAGGAAAAGTCTAGAAAGGTCCAATCAGGAAGAGCAGAGCGGTGGGGTGGGGAGGCCGGCGGACCTGGGATTGTCGCTGCAGCACTGTGTGCAGTGGCAAAGACTGGAGCCGCCTGGGTGCCCATCAGTAGGGAGTAAATAAATACCAAAGCCTTCTGCAGTCTCCAGAGAGAACGAGGCCACTTACTACTCCAGGGTAAGGAAAGAGCAAAGATATGAAGCCGTGTGTAACATCAGATCCTTTGGTGTAAACAGGAAAGAGGAAGATATGCCCCAGGAGCCTGTTTATGTACAGAAAATTTCTGGAATCATTTTGGGGTACCTGGAGATGCTAGCTGTGGGCAAGAGGTGGAGGGAGACACACCTCTCACTGTATACTCCTTGTGCCTTTTGAGCAACGTAAAATGACTGTGTTCTTATAGAGATAAACCAGTAAGAACATCAATGATTTCGTTCCAGGCAAAGGGTGAGAGAGGTGATGTTTGCCCAAGGTCCAGCAGCTTTCGGCACAGGCGGGACAATCGGAGATCCAGCTCCAGGGGCCCAGGGCCTCCCTAGCTTCTCAGTGTCCAGCCGCACTCCACCAGGTCTTCCCCAGGCCCCTCGAGTTTCCCAGAGCTGGCTGCTGAAAGGGCACTTTGAGCAATGCCAACTCGTGGGCACTCCTGAGGACTCTGTGCCGCAGAATCAGATGGCTCTGTGGATGGATCGATTCCATAGGAGTTATTTTACATAACAGGAATATTGCGAGGAACCAGACCTCCCGGATTCCCAGTCCCATGGTACCAAACCCGACCAGTAAACAACGGCAACACTGAAAGCAAACTGAAACATGGAGCTCAAGCGAGAGGAGGTGTGCGGCGGACGGCGGCTGCCACAGGGAGAGCACCGTGAGGGGATCTCTGAGAAGGTGACGTTCGGTCTGGGGCGGGAATGAGAAAAAGGAAATAAGTACAAAGAAGGCAAGGATGGGACAGTCTCTGGCTGCAGGAAGAGCCATTGCAAAGGCCCTGGGGTCACAGTAAGCTTCGCTATGGGAGAAACGGAATGGTGGCCAGTGTGGCTAGAGCTTGGAGAGCCAGAGTGAGAGGAGAGCCAGGTGGGGAGTCGAGCCTGTGGTGCTCTGGACTTGGTAAGGAGTCCAGACGAGGAAACTGAGGCTCAGAGAGGTTCTAAGTCATTTGTCCAAGGTCACATATTAAACAGTGGCTGAACCGGGCTTCTGGCCTGGGTTCCTGAAGCCACCAGTCCTTCACCATCCATAAGGTGGCACAGGGCAGAAACATCAGACATGCGTTTCCTTCCAGCACAGCCTGTGTGCAGAGAGCAATGCTGTTTTTTTTTTTTTTATTGCACAGAGACATGCATGTGTCCCACAGAAAGAGCACAGAGCATGCTCCCCACGTGGATGCCTCCCCTGTGACCAGCACCCAGATGAGCCCCCGCGGTCTCCTCCAGGTAGACCTGTCCTGGGCCCGAGTCTGCTTGACCTTAGGGGGTGTCTCTGAGCAGGAGGTGGCCTGTCTGACTTGTTCTGCCCAACATCGTGACTGCCAGGGGCTCAGGGGCTCGGCAGACTCTGTGTTATAGGCCCCTGGTAAGGCGGTGTGTGCACTAGCAGGCGTCCTTCCCACGAAGAAGGCTGGGCAAAGGCATCTCACCAAGGCACAGTCCGAAGGATGATGCTGCCTGAAAAAGTAAGATACCACCTGAGGGCCCTGGGACAAGCCTGTGATTCCAGCTACTCTGGAGGCTGAGGCAGGAAGATTACAAGTTCAAGGCCAGGCTGGGCAACTTAGTGAGAATCTCAAAATAAAAAGGGTAGGGGATGTAGCTCGGTGGAGTGTTCAATCGCCAGGATAGCACACATAAAACAAAACAACAGGTGTGAAACAATCAAGTTTTTGGTGGGGAGAAAGAAAACTGATATCTTTTCTGTTGTCAAGAATGACCCTAGAAAATATGTTAAATTTTCTCTCAACCACAGTGCATCTGGAGCCCTTCATAAATGCAAAGAGACACAGGGTGGAGGGTGCTCTTGTGTTCGGGGACATGTTGAATGACAAGTAGGAGCTGCCAGCTGCACTATTTAGAGTTCAGGCGTAGGAGCGGACCGTGGTGGTTCATACTTGTAATCCTGGTACTTGAGAGGCCAAGGCAGGAAGATCACCATGAGTTGGAGGCCAGCCCGAACTACTTATTGAGACCCTATCTCAAAACACCAAAACAAAACAAAAATACCAACAGAGTCTAGCCACGTGGAACCCATGGCCCGAGAGCCGAATGTGGCCTTGGACAGCTAGTAACAGCTCAAGATTGTACACTTTCAGTGTTATTGTGATCGTTTTCTTCACTACCTTGGATGGTACCCAGCTCAGGGCCTTTGCACTGATCCACATCCCTGCCCCTCCTTTATTTTTCATTTTGAGAATGTAAAGTTTATATCTAGGTGTCCCTCAGGAGCCCTCATGTGCTTGTAGGCAGGACTTTTGGAAAAGGACTGGAACCGGATGGTTGCAGCTGACTCGCGTTAGAAGGCGGGGCCTGGTTCGAGGCGGGTCGTTGGGGCGTGGCCCGAAGAGTCCAGCTCCTCCCCAGCTCCTCCCTCTTCTCCCTGCTTCCTAGCTGCCCGGACATGAGCCGCTTTACCTTGCCAGGCCCTTCTGCCGTGCCTTCCTGCCTTGGACTGAAAACACGAGCCAAAACAAACCTACCTCCTTTAGGTTGTGTTTGGTATTGTGTTTCAGCCATGAGGAAAGTGACTAAGACAGACATGGCCTTGCTAAGTTGCCCAGGCTGGGCTTGAACCAGTGATCCTCTTGCCTCCACCTCCCAGAATGCTGGGATTATGTGATTTTTAACAATGTTTTTCATGACTTGATCGCATGGTGCTGGAGCATGAAATGCTGTTTGGGGAGGGCACTGGGCAGTGCTAACTCCGCCTTCTATGCCCACACGGCCGGGTCAATCAGGCAAAGCCCAAGACTTCCCAGGTGCTTGTGTGACTTAGGGAGTAAAACACAGAGATCATGGATCATAGTATTTCCCTGCACACGTGCCTGTGAATACAGGCATTTATTCGTATTAGGCAGGCATGGAAGTTTTATCACTTAATTATTAAACTTGACTTGTGCTCTATTACAAAATAATTCAATAAACTGCAATATAAAAAGTAGAGGAAGTGGTGTCACTTATCTAGATTAGATGTATAGTTGTATATTTAATATGCGGTCCAGGCAAGCCAAAAGTTGGGACGCCCATGACTTAGACCTCCACTCCTTCGCCCTGTATTTTTGTTGTTGTCCCGAATGTATTGAAAATTACAGCATAACAGAAAGATTCGGACAGCCTTGGAATTCATCCTGAGGGTAAAATCGCTTCTTCAGCTGCGCGAAAGCCTGCTGTCTGTCGTGGAGCTTCTTGTTTTTTTGTTTGTTTTTTGGTACCGGGGATGGAGCTCGGGACCTAGTGCTCGTAAGGCAGGTGGCGGAACCGCTGAGCTAAATCCCCGGCCACCTGCGTATTGTTGCGGAGCTTGTTGAGGGGGATGATGGCGATCTCCTCGCACACGTGCGTGTTGGTGTGGAAGTCATCGGCCAGGTGTGTGTCGTACTTCTCCTTCTCTAGTTGAAGGAACACAAAGAAATCATGGGAGCCAAAGGCTGCACGGGATCAGGTGTCTCCCGAGGTGGTTTGCTGTGTGTGTGTGTGTGTGTGTGTGTGTGTGTGTGTGTGCGCGCACGTGTGCTCATTGGGGAGGTGGCAGGTGGATTTCATGTCTCCTTATTTGTCACTCTGACTTTTCTACAAAAAACAGGATGAGAACAAGAATGCCCGTGTCTTAGGCACCTGCACAGCCCCAGCAGACAGACAGGAGCAGGTGTTTCTAGCAGTGGTTTCCGCTGCTCGAGGCAGGGGCTGTAACCTGGCCTTTGACACAGGGAGCGGTGACTCCCTTGGCCCCAGGGACCAGCCGGCTTGTGTGTGGATCTGAGTGGCCTGACGTCTGGCGGACCTGAGTCTCGCCGCTGAGGCTGTGCATTTGGGTTACTGTGCTGCTTCACAAGGCACCCCAAAACTCAGCAGCATGAAACACATTTTCTGTTCTCGGATTTCTGTCTCTCGGCTCCTCTGAGTCAGGAATTCAGACGGGGAAGGCAACATGGCTTTCGTCTGTAACCCTATGACACCAGGACCTCAGCTCCGGACACTGGAAGGCTCAGGGGACTTGAGGGCTGGCAGACCCCAGCTGGAGGTTCTGCGCTTGTTCCCTGCAGCTGACGTGTGGCGGGGGCTGCTCCTCAGCTGGCCATAACCCAGGGCACCCTCGCTGTGACTTCCCCCCGGGCTGCTTTAGGCAGGGGTCCCAAGAAGTTGGAGATGCCAGCCATTGTGTAGGACCAGGCCTCGGGGTCATGTGGAACATTTCCTGTCTCTGTGGCTTCAGACAGCATAGGGGTCCCAAAGGCTCGAGGGGTGGAGGAGAGAGGCCCTCATCACTGCTCAGTGGGACTAAGGGTCACTTTATGAGGGGGCCCTGGAGCGACTGGCGCCCTTGCAGAATGCTGGTGGGATTATAAAATGGCACAGCCTCTGGAAATCCCTCTGGCAGTTCCCCAAAAGGTCAACCGCAGAGGTCCCGTAGGATCCAGCGACTGCGGGCCTGGTTCAACACCCAAGAGAAATGAGGCTCAGGATCCACACAGAAACAAATGCCTGTCCACTTAGGATGGAAAACCGGTGTGGCATCACCACCCAACGGAGTATTGTGCAGCCGCAGGAAGGGACATGGATGGACCTCAAAGCCACGCCGAGAGCGAGGAGCCAGTCACGAGGGCGCCTGCGGGAAGATCCCACTGATGTGCACCACCCGGAAGAGGTGGTTACAGAGACGGAGAGGGCAGTGGTGCTCCGGGGCTGGGGTAGGGGGATGGGAGCCGCTGCTGAGGCGCGTGGGGCTTCTTCTGGGGGGTTACGATGATCTGTGGGTGCACCAGAGATCATGGAATTGCATGCCCGGGAAGAGTGGACTTTATCGTGTGTGAATTATATCTCAATGAGGTGGTCATTTAAAAAATAAAAAGGAAAGGGTGAAATGGCTGAGGCTGCTCTGGGACTTTTAGAAAACGCTAGCCTCACTGTGAACGGAAGGACCTTGTCTTCCCGTGCCTCGATGTCTCTGTCCGTGAAATGGGCTACTCAAGAGTCGAAGGGACTCAGCGGGCCTTTGGGGGACTCCGAGAGGCGATGCCAATGGAAGCTGAGCCCACGGCTGGCACACGGCTGGCACTTGGGAGAAGTCGTGATGACAAACGATAAAGGGTCCCAGGGCGGCGAGGTGTGAGCCACGTTCCACTTGAGTCCCCTGCCCTGGGGCTGCTCTGTTCCTCTCTCTAGATGTCAGGAGTTTATCTGAAAAATGGGTTCACAACGGCGCCCACCTCGAAGGCTGTGGTAACAATGACTTAGCAGCTCCCGGCGCACAGCAGGTGCGACATAGTTGCTGTATCACTCTGGGCATTTCCTCGGGCCTGCTGGTGCTGCCCCTGCCTCCACTGTCCACAGAACAGCAATGATGCCAACATTAACAGGGAGCAGGAGGCGACCACAGCAGGGAAGGGCAGGGATGGCGCGAGGTGGGAGGACCGGGGAGGAGAGCGGGGAGGCTGGGAGCTCAGCCCACCCTGGTCCGCTGTCACTCTGTACCCGGACCACTTCAGTAGGTCCTCACTGCGGCCACCCTATCCCCATCCTACTCAGCGTGCACTCACACACACCACACACTCACACACACACATGCCATTGTCCACATGCAGCTAGAAGGAATTTGTCTGACCACATCCCCCCTCTGCCTACAATTCTCCATGGTTCCCCCCTCCCTCAGAGTAAAAGCCAAAGATCCTACAAGGTCATCCACTGTTGGCAGCCTTGTTATGTCTCTGACCTCTCCCTCACTCTTGCCCTATGCATGGCTCTCCAGTGGCACTGGCTTCCTCACCGCTCCCCAGAGCACAAGGTGCCCTCCTGCCTCAGGACCTCTGCACATGCTACTCTCTCTGCTGGACCATTCTCCTCGCAGATCTCCCCAGGCTTGCTTCCTGGCTTGCTCTGGGTCTGCTTGGTTTGGAAGCCGTTTGACTGTGACCCTTGAAGCCTCATGTGCTGTCATCTTGGCCTTTGGTGGGGTGTCCAAGCGGCGTAGCCTCCCAGGTATGAGCCCAGTGAAGTCACGAGGCCCTTGGGGCTCTGGCGTCCTGAATGGATGCATGCTGGGCTAGCAGAGTGGACTGGGTCTCAGGAGTGAGTGCGTTCCCATGAGGACAGGTTGTTATAAAGAGTCAGCCTGGCCCCTCCTGGATCTGTGGCTTCCTGCCACACCATGTGACTTTTCTGCCCTGTGAGGCCATCGTCACCAGGCCCTCCCTGTGAGGCCTCACACAGGCTAAGCAAGTGCTGTACCCATGAGCTACTGCCCTGGGCCTTTTCCTTTTTTATTTTGAGACGGGGCCTCGCTGAGCTGCCCAGGCTGATCTCGAACTTGTGCTTCTCCTCTCCTGGTTCGCTGTCCATATCTGTGCATGGCTCACATCTACAGTGACCGGCCCAGGGCAGGGCCCCCAGTCAGGACTCTGCACCCTTTGCCTGAGGAGAGAGCAAGAGGGAGGCGTCCTCCTCACCACCCGAGGTGTACAGCGCTCGGCCTACAGCGTCCATGCGGGAAGGGGGCCGGGGCTGGGCAGAGCTCCAGGGTTTTGAGGGAAGCCAGATGCTCTTCTATCTATATGATGCCCCGATTAGAAACCATTTCCGGTTCTGTAAGAAACCCACATGTGCCGCTGCTGCGTACCGGGGCGGGGCCGCCTGACAGCGCGCTCAGCAGTCAGAGGAAGCCTTCCTTTCAGGGCAAGTTGCTTTTTCAATGCCACCCACCCTCGGTCTTGGGCCCGGCCTGGGCATCTTTCCTTCACTCTGGAGCGGAGATCGAAGGTAAATATCGGCAGAACGTTGGCTTTTCCAGGCCCCAGATCAGAGCAGCACCGGCGGAAGCGGCGAGTCAGGCTCCCCTCCGCTCCCGCCGACCGGCCCCCAGCGCGTGCTCATCGCTGACAGTCGGGGTGGCTCTTGGTGTCACTCTGCTGCCAGCGGGGCCACGCCCTGCCCGACCCTAACCCTCTGGCCCTGCGCTGGGACCGACCCTATGTGTTTCCTGGGATCCCCTCGTCTTTATGACGGCGGC